AGAAAAAGAGTAGAAAACCAACTCAGATTCTTCTATAAAACTTTGAGAGCGTATTTCTCGTGAGTAGTAGTCCCCCAAAAAATGCTTTATAGGGTGGCAGCCTAAGTACCTATACAACACACACACACACACACTATGCAAAACCCACCTGCTGTCTGAACATAAACACCTGGGACCAGCCCCCATTTCTCCTCCTGATTCATAATTATATATCACACAAAAGAAACAGAAAAAAGAGCCCATTTTCTTGATTTTGAGAGGGGAAAAAAAATCAAGAATTTTAAGGGAAAATGATGTGGGAAGGTGGAGGGTCGCCGGCGACATCTTCTGCCGGTGGCGGAGGCGGTGGAGCTGCCGTGGGAAGTAGTAGTAGTGGGAGGAGGAAGCCATCTTGGAGAGAAAGAGAGAATAATAGGAGGAGAGAGAGGAGGAGAAGAGCAATAGCAGCTAAAATATATGCAGGATTAAGAGCACAGNCTAAAATATATGCAGGATTAAGAGCACAAGGGAATTATAATTTGCCTAAACACTGTGATAATAATGAAGTTCTTAAAGCTCTTTGTGCTGAAGCTGGTTGGATCGTTGAACCTGATGGCACTACTTATCGCAAGGTTACATTTTTTTTTATTTTTTTTTTAAAATTTACTTTCCTCTTTTGTTTGCTTTCTCTTTGTGTTTGTCTTAGTTTTTGCTTACTTTGACTTAATGGGGTGGTGGGTTTTTGCTTGGATTTTGATTAGATCTATAGATTTGGAAAATGAGGTTGCTTTATTAGGATCAAGATTGGCTTTTTAGTCTATTTTTAGTGGATTTTTGACTGTTTTAAAGGGTTTCTGATCTGGGAAATTGAATTTGAGCAGCTACTGATTTTCTGTTTTAATCTTTCCTTTTTGATGCATTTTTATTCTTAGCTAGGAATTAGGATTTCAAGTTGCTACCCAGCTGGATTTGCTCAATTCCTTTGTTTTTCTTATAATTGTAATCTGTTCATGTTCTCAAACATTGGCTGTTTAAAGAAATTAGTATGATCCTGTAAAATAATTTGTTAGAGATTGGAGATTGTTTCTGAAACACAAGAGGGCAAAAAAGGAAGAATTTACCTTGAGAATTAAGTGCTCTTAATATAGAAATGGATAAGCAGGGTCCTCTATTTTGAGAGTCTAAGGTGGATTTAATGCATTTGGTTGAGGTGCTTTCTTATGAAATACTTTGCCAGATTCCAAGCTGTAATGTGATGAAATTTTCTTCTTATCGCAAATTGAAGAGCCTTCTGTGTCAGCAAATTGGTTTTTGAAACTCACATTCATGGAACTTCTTCTGTCTTTATGCCTTCTGAGCTTAGTTTCTACAGGAAACAACCGCTCTGCCTTCTTAAAGGCAGCGGTAAAGTCTGCCTACACACTACCCTTGACAGACCTCACTTGTGAGATTACACTGGAATATTTTTTTTTTGTTGTTGTTGTTTATCTATCTTAACTGTGTGATTCTTGGTCTTGAACTCAAAGAAATAAGACAACAATTTAGGTGAGTACAATTGTGTCCGGGAATTAGTATCTCTTCATACATGTCAAGTGTTAGTAGTAATTTCTTAGCTAGCCTTTAATCATTTATGTTCGCTAATTTGATTGATTTTTTTTTTCTGTTACTATGTTTCAGGGATGCAGCAGGCCAGCTCCAATGGAGATTGGAGGCACTTCAGCCAACATTACGCCAAGTTCTTCACGACATCCAAGTCCTCCGTCTTCATACTTTGCTAGCCCAATTCCATCTTATCAACCCAGTCCAACGTCCTCGTCTTTCCCAAGTCCATCTCGTGGCGATGCTAACATGTCATCACACCCTTTCGCATTTCTCCATAATTCCATTCCTTCGTCACTACCTCCATTACGAATATCAAACAGCGCCCCTGTAACACCACCTCTTTCATCACCTACTAGACTCCCTAAGCAGACGTTCAATTTGGAGACTTTGGCCAGAGAATCAATGTCTGCTTTAAATATCCCTTTCTTTGCTGCTTCAGCCCCGACAAGCCCGACTCGGGGTCAGCGATTCACTCCTGCCACTATACCAGAATGCGATGAATCTGATTCGTCCACTATTGATTCTGGCCAGTGGATGAGCTTTCAAAAGTATGCAACCAACGGTGTCCCTACTTCTCCGACTTTTAATCTTATTAAACCTGCAGCTCAGAGAATTCCTTCTAATGATATGATCATCGATAAGGGTAAGAGCATAGAGTTTGACTTTGAGAATGTATCAGTGAGGGCGGCATGGGAAGGAGAAAAGATTCATGAGGTTGGTTTAGATGATCTGGAGCTCACTCTCGGAAGTGGGAGCGGTCGCATGTGATTTTCTTGACTAAAATGAATTGCTTCGCGTGGATACAGCATGTGATTTTCTTGACTAAAATGAATTGCTTCGCGTGGATACAGCATGTGATTTTCTTGACTAAAATGAATTGCTTCGCGTGGATACAGCATGTGATTTTCTTGACTAAAATGAATTGCTTCGCGTGGATACAGATTGAGATTATCCGGGTTTGCTATCTGATGAAGCACTCTGCAGTCCAATGAATGTTCATATATCATCTGCAATTTCTGTTACAGAGATGAAGTTGGCCAAAAGTAGATCTTGCATTGCAATGCATCTTAGGTTGGATTTGATTTTCTCTGTTGCTGTTGCTGTTTACCTTATTATACAACATTTTTATCTTTATTTTCTTAATCTGAGAAGGCCTCTTAAAGTTTATTTGGGTCTTTTCACAAGCATTTTAGGTGTAGTTGGTGGTTTCTATCTCCTTGTGGTTGAGAATCGTTTTCGTCGTTGTAGACTAGCAGGAGCTCTCCACAAACCTGAACTATCCACAATTTTTTCTTGATTATAGTAGATGTGTTTGTTGCTGTGCAACTGGATTCTTCTTTTATGATCTAGCTTCAATTTGAAATCAAATTGATGTACTATTCTTCATCTCTTTGATGCTTTTATGTCCAGATTAAACTACTAAGCTCATCAAGGTCCATACGCAACCTGTTTTCTCCACAACATTATGGCCTTGTCTTTGTTTCTGAGTTTTATATTTTGTTCTCATTTGAAGGGAGGAGAGCCTTGGCGTAACTGGTAAAGTTGCTGCTATGTAACCTGGAGGTCACGGGTTTGAGCTGCAGAAATAGCCTCTTGCAGAAATGCAGAGTATAATGCTGCGTACAATAGGCCCTTGTGGTTCGACCGTTCCCCGGGCCCCGCACATAGCGGGAACTTAGTGCACCGGGCTGCCCTTATATTGGAGAATGTAATATGGCCAATATTTTGGCTAATGGAGTCCATCTCACATAAGCATAAACATCTTTGCAAAGTGTAACTTTGTTGGCAATATTCTTTGGGACCTAAAAATATTGCATTGTGTGGTGGACATCATTTGCACAAGTTGTATCTCTTTTTTTTACACCTAAGAGGCCAAAACTTTTTTACCTATAAAAGGGAAGACCATTAATTCATTTTAGACACACCAACAAGACTTGTTTTCATTTCTTGTTTATCCCTTTCCTCATTTATTAAAATGTTTTGTATGAGAGTTAAGTGTTGGGAAGCACTTGTGTGAACCCTTTTTCGGAGTAATCTTGTGATGTTATTCTCTTAGGGTATTTGGGATTAATTAGATAATTTACTCTAATTTTGTACTCTCTTTTGTACTCTTATTCGTATAGTAAAATTGTTCCTTTTCGCTTGTAGACGCATGTCACTTTGACCGAACCGCGTTAAATTGATGTCTTCTTTATCTGCTTTAATTGCCGTTACTAATTTTCATTGTCTTTGTTATTGTCATTATACCATTATTTGATTAAATTCTGTACTACCCGGGTTCCTGATCCTAACAGAGAAGTCTTTGCTTATTTTAGTTGCCCTATAGCATGATGCGAAGGGCTATGCAAATCGTGTCTATACCGTTTTAGTTATATCAGATGTCCCCTAAGAGATAACGGTAGTGTCTTAGAGTACATTTCGACTATTCTATCGGCTATTTGTTATCTCTTTCTATCTCATGCCTTGATAAGTTATGATAACTCTACCCCACTAAGACAGTCAAATGACAAGAAGTTGCAACAAAATTTTGAAAAAGTTTTTATCTCCACTTTGTTGACAATTAGACTATAGAGTCCGAAATCAAAATAATGAGTATTTGGACTCAAGACACAAAAATAAGTGGAAAAAAAACTTAGTGACCAAAATACATATAGCGCCCCTTTAACGGTCGTTTGCCCGTTATACCTTAACGGTCGTTTGCCCGTTAAGGTGTAGCGCCCTTTAAAAGAGCGTTATACTTGAATATGAAAAGACGGGTAAGTATAACGCCGTTTATTAAGGCGCTATATATATTTTGTGGGTCCATCAATAATTATTCTGCGTTTAACTGACATAAAAATAATTCAAATGAGTATAGCGCCCTTATTTAAGGCGATATACCTCAAAAAATTCGACCCCCGGATTGGGCATTGCCTTATTTAAATACGTTAAGGATTTTGTAAAAATCCATTCAGAAAAATTCTCAAGTCTTGTTAAATTTTTCTTCGTTAAGTTGTTTTGCATTTTGTCACAATGTCTGAAGAGCAAAAATTTAGGGTTTCATTATATTTAGGGGGTGAGGTTGTGGTGGCGAATAACTTAGTAAGCTATAGTTAATCTCCACAGTGTCATGTTAAGTTGCCACTTATAATGGAGTATGATATATTGATATCGTTGTTATGTAAAAAAAAAAAAATGAGTGTGAGCAAACGTTCGGTGAACCTTAGTAACCGGAAGATATCCGTATTCTGTCACTCCGCATGGGGTTGCTTGTTATGCTGAGTTTAACATCGAGGATGATGAAACTCTGAGTAATTTTTGAGGACTCCGAAAGAATACCGGGAATTTCTTTTGATAAAAATGTTGGAAATGTACGTCAAGGATGAATACGTTCTCAATAATAAGGTTGCGCAAAGTAGGGATATCTCTCAGTCATCGGGTGGTTATTTTGGAGCAGTTTTAGCCGAACAGGTTCCGGCTGAAAGAGTTTGACATGATCTAAACTTATCTCCACCGGCGAATGAGAAGCGAGAAAATAATTTCTCTCTTACTTTACATGATCCACGAGATGAGTAGTAAACTTTAATTTTCCTTTGTGTTACGATATTTTTTTTTGCTGTATTGAATTTATATTAACGCTCATATATTCCACAGTGGGTACCGACTAGATATAAATTTTACAAGTTAAGAACCAAAGCCCAGTTAGAATATGCGTAGTTCTGGTGTGTTGGATCATGGTGGTCCATCCGGGAGTCATCACCAATAGGATGATATCCATCATGGGATGTCAACACATTGCGATTTGTAAGTGAAGTGATATACAACAACAACAGCAACAACAATAACAACAACAACCCAATATAATCCCACTAGTGAGGTTTGGGGAGGGTAGTGCGTATGCAGACCTTACCCTTACCATGAGGTAGAGAGGCTGTTTCCAATAGACCCTCGGCATCCTTCCCTCCAAGAACTCCCCACCTTGCTCTTGGGGTGACTCGAACTCACAACCTCTTGGTTGGAAGTGGAGGTTGCTTACCATCAGAGCAACCCCTCTTGTCAAGTGAAGTGATATAACTATATGTAAAGTATTTGTCAATTTGAATAACTCATTATTTTGTTGGTGTGCAGTGAAAACGAGCAACTTGAATGTCCTGTCCTAACTCAATTGCCCGAAGATGACATATTTAATCAGGATCTGGCAGATGCACAAAGTCAGGAAGAGAACAGTGATTATGACAACAATGTCGATGAGTCCGGAGATGACACACCCTTCCCTGATGGGGGTGATAATGAGAAGGAAGAGAATGCTGGACCTGATTTGACGAAAGATCATGTTCCACCCCCCATTAGACTAAGAGTGTACGAGTCTCATATGCCGTTTCATTCAAGGGAGATTCCCTACCTTGATCATTTGCCAAGTATGCCGGATGTGGATGCCCTCACACGGGATACTGACGAAATTCAGACATCAATGTGGGATGAGTCTAGACCAACGGTGTTGTCAAAGGGCATGCTTTTTCCTGATAAAGCGCGCCTAAGTAGGGCGGTAAAAATGTACAGCGTAAAAGCGTGTCGTGAGATGACGGTATGTGAGTCAACTCCGGATGTATACAAGGTTGTTTGCCGTAGATGGTTTACGAGTTGTAATTGGATGTTGCGTGCGAAGAAGGAGAAAACAAATATATGGGTTGTGGGTAAATACATTGGCACCCACAATTGTGAAATGGACACATTCAGTGGGAATCACTTCAACTTGGATGTTGACTTGATTTCTCTTGTCTTGATTCCACACATTGAAGCGTCCATAAAATACAAGATCAAAGAGTGTATTATATCCGTCCACCAGGAATATGGGTGCACCATTACCAAAAGAAAGGCATTTCTCGTGCGCAAACGTGCGTTTGAAATTGTTTATGGTAACTGGGATAAGTCATTTACATTTTTACCCAGGTACATAGCCGCACTGCAACACTTTAACCCCGAGACCAAGATATCACTCAACATGTCTGTAACGACCCGACCGGTCGTTTTGAGCTCTAGTGTGGCATTTGGCGGTTTGAGGCCATGAGCAGCTTTACTTCAGGTATTGTGACTTGTACGCGTGGTCGGGATTGAATTTCGGGAAGTTCAGAGTTGAATTGGAAAACAAATTCTCATTTCGAAAGCTTTAAATTGGAAGAATTGACTAAGATTATATTTTCGAGTGAACAACCTCCGAATTGGGATTTGAAGGTTACAACAGGTTCGTATGATGATTTCGGACTTGGGCGTATGTTCGGATTGGGTTCTGGATACCCCGGGAGCGTTTCAGCACCTATTGTGGAGGTTAGTATTTTGGAAGAATTTCACAAATTTGGGTTGAAGTGCATTTCAATGTTATCAATGTCCGTTTGGAATTTTGAGTCTGGGAATAGCTCCGTATGGTAATTCCGGTATTGGGAGCGTGACCGGAAGTATTTGGAGGTCCGTAGATCATTTGGCGAAAGTTGAAAATTTGGATAATTTTGAGAAGTTTGACTGGGAGTGAACTTTTTGATATCGGGGTCGGAATTCAATTTCGAAAGTTGGAGTAGGTCCGTAATATCAAAGATGACTTGTGTGCAAAATTTGAGGCCAATTGGACGTGGTTTGATAGGTTTCGGTATCGAATGTAGAAGTTTGAAATTCTAAAGTTCATTAGGCTTGGAATGGGATGCGATTCATGAATTCGACGTTGTTTGAAGTGATTTGAAGGCTCGACTAAGTTTTTAATGTATTTTGGGACGTGTTGGTATAATCGGTTAAGGTCCTGACTGACTCGGACAGATTCCGGGTGGTTAATAGATCGAATTTGAAATTTGAAGAAGAGTTGAGGCATCTGATAACTGGTGTGATCGCACCTGCGCAAAAAGGGCCGCGGGTGCGAAGCCGCAGGTGCGAAAAATCCATCGCAGGCACGAAACCGCAGGCGCGAAGAATTTTGCCGCGGGTGCAACGCCACAGGTGCGAGAAATCCACCGCAGGCGCGAAGGACTTTGTCGCGGGTGTGAAGCTGCGGGGGCGATGATCGCCGGGCAGTGAGTGTTTTAAGCGGGGATTTGAGCATTTTTGCTCATTTCTTCATTCTTAGACGATCGTTAGAGCTTCTTGAGAGGAGCATTCACCTAACAACTTGGAAGTAAGTTAATTCCCACCTATTGCAAGTTAAATACATGGTTTATATATGAATTTAGACATGCAAATTAGTAGAAATTGTGAGATTTTGGTAGAAAACCTAGATTTTTACCACGAAATTGGGCATGGATGTCACGACCCAACTGGAGGGTCATGACTAGCACCCGGGCCATACTTGCCGAGCACCAA